TTCTTTTATTTCTCAGAAGTTCTTTGTGAAACTGTTTATCTTACCGTCGATCCATACATGCGGTAAATATATACATTTGATCATACAAAAAGAAATCTTTGTTTGTATTTAGCATTCATGGTGATCTTGTTGGAGAAAACAAAACAATGTTTGGTGAGGCTTGTTTAAAGTAAGTCTTTTCCTGCAGAGAGAAATGAAGATGTTTATTGTTTTTTTAGAGTGATCAAGGCCCGTAATGATAAATTTCCTGTTGGCGCACTTGTCCTTGCACTTAGTGGATGGCAAACTCATTATTTATCAAAAGATGGTAAAGATCTTAGACCAATTCCATTCGATTTAGATACTCTTTCACCATCGGTTTCACTCGGTGTACTTGGTATGCCAGGGTAAGTTTCATAGAATTTTTCTATATTAATTCTTTTCATTTCTAATAGATTAACATCTTATTTTGGTCTTCGTCTATTAGAAGCAAAAGCAGGTGAAGTTTGTGTTGTGAATGGAGCTGCTGGAGCAGTTGGATCTCTCCTTGGTCAATTAGCTAAACTTAAAGTAAAGATTTTGATTAAATTCAATTGACTTTGTTCTGTTTTTGTTATAGGGTTTAATTGTAATTGGTTTTGCTGGTTCGGATGAGAAATGTCATTGGTTAACAAAAGACCTTAAATTTGATTATGCATTTAATTATAAGAAAATTTCAGTTGATGATGCTTTAAAACAAGCTGCACCAAAAGGAGTTGATGTTTTTTTTGATAATGTAAGTTTAAGAATAAAAAATTAAATTTTTTCAATTCGAAGTTATTCAATAGGTTGGTGGTCAATTTTTTCATGATATGATTACCAAACATATGGCTCGTTTTGGACGTATTGTTATTTGTGGTGCAATATCAACCTATAATGATGCAGAAATACCGAAATGTAGAGTTATTAGGGCAATTTTTTTTTAATGTAAATGAAATTAATTTTTATCTTCTAGTTCCACAAACTCATCTTCAGATTCTTGCGAATGAATTGACTATTCGTGGTCTTATGGTAATGTCGTATGATAAAGAATTTGATACAGCTTTGAATGAAATGGCTCCTTTAATTAAGAAGGTAAAAAGAAAAGAATGAAGAATTGATATGTTTATAGTTTTGATTCCATTTAGGGTGATCTGAAATTTAAAGAAACTTTATACGAAGGTTTTGAAAAGATGCCTGAAGCATTTGTTGGACTGTTTAAAGGTGAAAATATTGGTAAAGCTATTGTTAAAGCAAGCAATTATCCATAATTGATGAACAGAACTTTGTGAATTTTGATTTTTTTTTAAATTCAGTTAGTTTTATCAAAAAAGAAAGTTGGATTTATTGGCCATAAATCTAATCGATAGTGTCATAATTATACTAATAAATCAGTTGTGTCTTGAAATGACAATTAATAGAATTTGACTAGGACTACCCAGGACGAAGAATCCAACAATCAGGGTATGGGTGTTGTTGAACAGAAGATGCACACTACACACCACATTTACACTTCCACTCACTCACACCCAGACCCCGTGCGAGGGTCCCAAGTTTGGGAGATGTAAGATTCCTGAGGTAGTCAGATTTGGAGAAAGCAGAATTTTTATTGCATCAGACTTAATATTCATCTTTCTCTTGCAAATTTTCAAGAAGACAACCAGCGTCTGATGTAAGAAAATTCCTCAGTACTTCTGCCGCCGAAGGCGGCCACTCTGGCGACGATTGTTCTCGACTAGACTGTTTCGAAGGAAAAATGGACTAAATTTAGAAGTTTTTCTAAGTTAACTGCAGTTATGCAACTGTTTTTTTCGCGAAACGAAAAGTTGTGTTTCGCCGTCGAAGATGGCCACGCTAGCGACGACCGCTCGCAAATAAAGCTGTTCAGAAGGTAGAAAGCAGTAAAATGTCATATAAAAACAGGAAGATCAGAGATATTTTCAAGGCGATCATGTTTTCCGTCGATATTTCAACGATAGTTGCCCGATTATTATTATAGAAAGATCATTCCCTGACTCCCATTTTCACTCAGGACACCTCTGAAAGATGTTTGTGAAAATATTTCTGTGAGACACTTTATAGATTCAAAATAATATTATCCATTTCCGTGGCTAATAATAAATAATTTTCAATTATTGGGGGGCGGGGGAGGGAGAAGGGTGTACATCCACCGACACCCACACGCAAGGATTAGGCAATTCTTCAATTTTGATTCGAAACTGGAACAACGAAATTAAATTTTTTTGTCGAGAATCGAATAAATGATGTATCAATATGTCCAATGGTTCTGCAGGTTAATGTACCTCGACGTTTTATGGGAACACCAATGATGGCATTGGTCTCTTTGACAAACAATAACAGTTCTGCTCAATTCGCTTTGAAATGTGAGTTGGTGTCTTCTCAATTTTTACTGACACTATTTGGAAATATAATACAAATGAGAATAGCTTCACTTTCAGCATCCTAAAATTGTGAACACTTTTTCTGTTAATTGGCTTATTTTTTGTTCGTGGTTTGGACATAGCCGTATATTGATCAATTTATGATATCTATTTTTGCTTGTTTCTCTGATGCTAACATTATTTTTTTCTTCAATCCAGAAAACACAATCCACTATTGCAATTTGTATATTACAGTTAATTAGATCCAATACATCTAGAGATAGTTTCACAAAGCATCTGAAGACTTTTAAGTTTTACACAAGATTCCATATGAAGTATACTTTATCACAAAATGACAATAAGTATGTTTTAATATTCTTTGAGAATGAAATTGATTTCTTCACTTCATTCATTCTTTCCGATAAACACATTCATATTCGAAAAGATCATACTTATTAAAAGTACATTATGTATTGATTTGTATTTATGATTTCATTTGTTAATTGCTGATTAAATACTGCAAAGTGATTAATCGAAAGAGAAAGAAAACAAATAAGATTTCTACAATGTAAAAGAATCTCATTAGGAAAATCATTTAATGGAAGGAAAGTGACAATAAAAATTTGCCCATATAATACTTTGATTGTTGAATAGATAACAGAATAAAATTTGATTAGTGAAAGATAATCTGGAATAAAAAGACTATGAAAGTCTTGTTTCAATTTAAATTTACATGAAATTTGATAAAATTAGAAAATCACTATTTTCTAGTTTTCTTTATGACTCTAAAACATTTCATTTCTCGGACTTATTGTTGTTTTTCACATTTTAAAACTTCTTTCGATAGCAAAATACCTTTAAAATTAATTAATTAGGAATGAGCGCATTCTTTTGTGAAACACGATCTAAATGGAATGTTAAAGTATATATAGGGTAGAAATTTGCACCCTTCACCTTACAATCAGTCAAGTTTTTCAAAGTCATTGATTACATTCAAGAATTGAAGCGAGTCTGTTGACTAATAAGACGTGTTTTTATCCTCTATATTCATCAGAGCTGTCTGCTCACTATTGGATGATTCAATATATTACATTAAACCTTGGATCATCACGGCTTTTAGAAAAGAAATAGATTTCTTTCTCGGGTTTAAAATTGAAACTTGTCTTCAATAGTGCAAAACGTCTCGCACGTATCAGAAATTAATCAACGTAAGCATGACTACTCATTTTATTTTTATGTTTTTCATTTCACACAATTAGAACAAAACTAAGTTTCGTTCACGTGAACGAAAGATCGCTCATCACTTCGAACATTGATTACGATGAATACAAGAACCGTCGATGGTCTCGTTTGAGCGTACATAACCCTGACGACAGAAACAACCAGTGACACATTCTTCAGTACAAATCTCGGGCTTGTGTTGACAAGTTTCGACACAAGCTGAACCACAATCTGTGAATACCTCGTTGTCACCACAACACTCCTGGGGTCTGACACACGTGCCACCATTTGAGCGATAAAAACCTGCCTTACAGTAACAGCTTGGCTTGCATATCGTCATACAGTTCGCCGGCGGCTTCGGAGTTGGATATGTCCACATGTCACATCTCTGTGGACATGCCGAGCCACACTCCATAAATTCTTCATTCTCGCCACATTGGTGACCATCGATTGATTGACATTCTTCTCGTTTGATACATGGACTGTTGGGCTTGTTCGATTCTCGAACGTATCCTGGTTTACAAAAACAACCGAACATACACATCGCTGCACAGAATTCGGGTTTGTCAGTGCATGTCTCGACGCAAGGCGAACCGCAAGTATTGTAAAACTCATTCTCGCCACACGCTTGTCCTACATTTAGGATGCAAAAAGAAAATTCCATTCAAAAGTATATTCAATTGTCAGTTATTCTACCTTCATCTTGAGCATTAACGATAGTTATCAGTAATAGCAGGAGACACGTATACACAATTGAGAGCATTTTAGTTTCGAGAAACAAAATAGTAATTGAATAGGCGTTTTTGAATACGTTTGCGAATATGATTAGAGGATTTATACTCGTTCGTACACCTACGAAATGAAAACAGGTGAAATACGAGTAAGCGCAGTCTTAACAATGATAGAGGTAAATGATTGTTGATGTGGATCAATATTGATCAAAGTTTAATTCGAAAGAGAGTGCATGATGCCTGGAAGGTAGCAAGTGAGACAGAAGGAGAAATGTATTCAATAACTTTTGCGAGAACTAAAGTGATTACATAGTAAGCAGAGACTTCTGTGAATATAATGATAAACAAAGTTGCATACAATAGTCTGCGAAAAAAGTAAATTCTAAGATAAATACAAAAGGCTATTAAAATTTTGTAATTTTACTAGGAAAAATGTTCGTCTTTTTGAAGTTTTTAACCTTGAAAATTACTTATCGCAGTAGATAGAGAATAATACTTTCAATTATATTTGAACCAGAAAAAGGTGGGAAAAAAAATCCATTGACAATTTCTATATAAATTCATTAAAGTTTTCCTTATCACCCTCATCCTCAGGGAAGGACGCATGTGTATATCTGTATTTATGCGAAATCTTGAAAAATTCGAGTCAAAAATATCAACTCAAACAATTTCTTCTCCACGTTGACACAATTCTTCAGAATGTGTTCTCCAATTGTTAAAACCTATTTTGAAATAATTTTAGTCTTTGGAAAGAAATTTTTCGAACGTTTTTCGAGATTTCGCATCACTATACATATACACACACGCCTCTCTTATTGAGGGTGCTCAGAAATCGGGATTCCACATGAAAAACAGATTTCTTGCTGGATGAATCGCAAGTTTGAAATTCCAAAATTTTCATTCAAATTCGATCAAGTTTATTCAGTAAGCAATGTGTTTTTCACGCGGAATCACGGTTTCCGAGCACCTTCAGTGAGAGAGATGTGGTGTGTTTTCGAACGTGTCCCTCTTTCCGCGCACCCGCATTCAGAGAAGTACTGTATGTTTTTTCATCCTTCACATCACTTATCTAGGCATCATGGTAAGGAGATTATCATGAAGCCATTGCCAGTTTGACTTGTAAAGATTCACTATGTTTTTCTGAAAAATCATTTCGTTTTCGGCAGTATTTATGGCTTCAGGAGAGTCATTAGATTTGTTGGAAATTCATTTGCGTTTCCTGAAATTTATTCGCGATTACGAAAATTCATCTTTTATTTCCGTGAATTTATCTCCATTTCCGAAAATTCACTTCGGTTACAGAACACGCATTTTTTTTCCGAATATCGATGATTTCCTGGAAATTCATACGGAGCAAAGCATGACCGATACATGTGAGTACATACGAATACATGAATTCTAGAATTCGAGGTTTTTTGGAAATACATATATCCCCCCCCCCCCGCCAAAATAAGTGGTACACCGAATTTTTGACATTTAGTTATCTAAACAACAGACTTTATACCTCGTATTTATACCATAACTAGTATGTGGCAGTGTCTAACTATCCATCATATAATCGAACTTGAACTGTAATAATGTGCTAGGGAAAAAAGAAATATATTTTATACTCTATCGTGTGTTTGTAAAAGACAACTCTTTCCATGCTCATCTTTTTTTTATTTTTCTATATGTTATCCAGTAATGTTATTCCTAAATTAATCAAACATTACGCGTATTTTGGGTGTGTGGGTGTGGGTGTTTCTCTTCTCTTCATCTCCTACCATACTTACATCCACATCCACAGCCACACCTACACTCTGCAAAGACTCATTATTTTAAGAAATTTTATTTTTCAAACCGAAGTCGTTGTAAAGTTATAAGCAAAACAATGTTTGTGGTTGTACTGCAAAATATGTATTTCAGAGGAATATTTCTATGATAGTTACTACTCGTTAA